GGTTTAAAAAGCCTGCATGTTTCATTACCCTCTGTGTCTGATTAAATGTAATGAGACATCACTTCTCCGTGGCTAACTGGGAAAAGCGTCTCATTTCCCCAATTTGTGAAACTCCCTAAAGCAGCAGGTCAGCAGAGGGCAGATAATGTGATCGCTGTGGAGGAAAAGTCACTCGCAGATGATGAAAAGGCCCCACTGCAACGCTTGAAGGCGGTTTGAATATGGTTCTCCCTCTAAACTCACTACACCAACCACAGCGGCCAGAGGCCACAGGTCAGAATCCACACTTCTTAGTGTAACAGGTCGAGTCTGTCCACCGCTGGACTGGACAGGGGATAAAAGGATCAAGTAGCCAGAAAGTCCTGAATTTTACTTTCAAATAACAATGTTGGATAAAAAGATTAATTACTAATTTCAACAAAATCTCCAAAGTCCCATGAGGTCCCAGGCTACACCAAGGACACAGCGAGGGGCCCAGGGCCCTGCTCTCGGGGAACTGACATACAAGGACAGGTGGAATGAGTGACATCATAAACAGGAAGTCAAATACAAGCCGAAAGCAAGTGCCATCAAGCACACAAAGTGTGAATGAAAGTGAGAGAATGGGCTGCTGACATCAGACAGGGTCTGTAGGGACAGCGTCTCTGACAAGGCAACATTCCAGGTAAGAGCTGAAGGCCCAGCAGCAAGCGGACCCCGAGAGGCAGGTGGCAGGTAAGACAAAGGGCAGCCGGGTGAGCAGGTGCTCTGTGCCACACACTGCTTGGGGCGCTGGGCACAGGGCTGAGACAACATCAAGAAGGTCCGCTCAGATGCAGCTTGCAGGGATGAGCAGACCCCGGGTCACGGGGTCCTTGGGGAGTTGAGCAGGAGCGGCCTCCAACGGTCCCGCGAGGGCCCCTATAGCCACAGCTGGGAGTGGGACGTCTGGAAGGCGCCCTGCCCCATCCCCACTGCTCCTGGGCCGGGGTGGCGAGGGCGCTGACTTCCTGGCAAGGCCACTGGCCCCAGCCGTCCTCCTGCTTGTGGGGCAAACACTGGGCAAGGATCCCCCACCCTCATGTCCTCTTGCTCACTTCAAGCCCCGCGCCCATCAGCAGTTAAACAAACTAAGTCCTGTGGTCCCCAAGTCTGGCTGAGCTTCCTTAAAATAGTAATTCCCAGGCCCCACCCCAGGAGTCTGGCTCAGGTCGGAGGGAGCCAGGAAACAGGCAGGCTAAAGGCTTTAAAGGCAATTAAATTATGAGTGAAGAATGAAACAGACACTTCACCAAGGAAGACCTACGCACGGCCAATCAGCAGACAGGACGCGCAACGTCATCAGTCCACAGGGAAGTGCAAATTAGGACCCTGTAAGGTACCGCGTCACATCCCCCGAAAATAGCTAAAATTACAGACTGGGGTATAGGCAATTAGAACTCTCAGTCACTGCTGCTGTGAACACAAACGGGTGCGGCCACTCTGGAGGGCAGCTGGGCAGTATATGAACACTCACTTACCCTAAGACCGAGGGACTCAGCAGAGAGGGGAAAACAGACGCTTCCACCAGATACATACATGGAGGTTCATGGCCAATTTTGTCTGCAATGGCCCAAAATTGGCAAGAAGCCCTATGTCCACCCACTGGTGAATGGGCAGCACACTGAGGCACACCCAGACAGTGACATGTGACATGTGGATGGGTGGCACTGTCCCAGGAAGAGAAGCACTACAAGTCTGCGACTCTAGGATGCCACTCCCACGAAGTCCTGAAAGCAGACGCTGGAGACAGAAAGCAGGTCAGGAGTGGGAGGGGGCGGGGAGCGGGGACGGGAGACGGAAGCAAAAGGACACGAGCAGACTGCTCAGGGCGATGCGCGTGCCCCACGTCATGATTCAAGTGCTTGTATTCCCACATAGAGGTGTCAAAACTAACCTAGCAGTGCCCTTAAAATTGGTGGATTTTATTGCATGTCAGTTAGACCTCAACACAGCTGACCGGAGGACGGGGGCGGGGATGGGGGAGCAGACAACCAGAGCAGAGCCCAGCATCACCTGATGATGGATGTGTGGACAGACTGGGGAAAATGCTTACGGCGGAAACCCTTCCCAAGCAGCCAGAAGCCCAGCCTTCAGTGGGCACACGACCCCCTGACATCAGGGGACAGGCATCTGGTTCCGTACAGGAAAGGAGGCCCCGGAGCGGGAGGCAAGCAGAAGTGCTACGAGCCACTTCTCCAGGACGTCGTCTCCGCCGCGCTTCACCACTGCTGCTGGTGGAATGTGAACGTGATGCGGGAGCTTGGGCAGCCAGCTTGAACCATGAGGTGCAAGCCAGGCACAGAGGAGCAACCAATTCATAGCTGGTGAGCCGGCACCGGGGCGGTAACCAAGGCGGGTCCTGTGCAGCCGCTGCAGTGACATGCTGCCGTGGCATGTACATCTCGGCCTGACCCCCACTGTGCGGGCACACACCTCGTCTGGCCTGCTACTAACACAGGACCAGCAACCCACAGTCCTCCCGAGGCCCCTTGCTGAGAGCATTTTGTGTCCCCCAACACTACGTGGTTCCAAATCACACCCTCATCCGCTCGCAAGAAGCAGGACCCCACCTGCTCCCCGAAGCCCATCTGCCCTGGGGACGGAGTGCCCTCCAGCGGGGCGGGGACAAGCCTGCACCTCCCTACCCCAGGGGCGCAGGAGAGCCGAGGAGAAATCGTGAAGGAGAGACACCCACTGCCAGGGCACAGGCACTTCGGACCAAGGGGATCAAGGTCCCCGGACGTCCCCACAAGCAGACCAGCCAACACCCACTGGCGGTGACGGCTCCTTCTCTGTAAAACCGAGAGGCCTGTGAGCTCAGCTCTACAGAGAACGTGTCAAGTGGTAGAAAAAGTACAGAAATAAACCAAAGGACTTGTGAAAAACTCTATTTTCCATGTAAAAAATAACTAAAACAGAGATTATCTGTTATTTTCCAGATACAGTAAGCACAAGTATTGAGAAGGACAATCAAAGAGAAGTATCTTAAAATGACTACTTCTGTGGGAAGCTGGTTTCCTCCTTTGTGGCACACAATCAATAAGTACTTTTGCTTTAATAATCCTGGATTTTTCTTTTTTAAACACAGTTACTGCACAGATAAAAAATGTCAAAGTTTAAAAGTGCATTCACTGGGGCAATCAAGATGCAAAAAAGGGCCGGCCGAGTGGCTCAGTTGGTTAAGAGCTCGCTCAAGAGTGTGAGCTCTGAGTAACAGCGGTTTGAGTCCCATCCCGAGCTGAGCAGCCGCTGAGCTGCCAACAGGTGGCAGGATAGCTCAGCTTAAAAAAAAAAAGATGCAAAACAAATGTTTCAAACAAAAACATTTCAATTTTAAAAAGATCCATTTAAAATAACAAAAATTAATGATAGTTAAGAATAAACCTAATAAAACATATGCAAAATCTTTTATGGAACAAATCTTAAAACTTCATTGAAAGGCATTAAAAATGGCCTAAAAATGGGGAATTAGCATGTTCACAAAAATGACAACTGGATTTCATCAACATGTCAGCTCTCCCAAATTGATCTCTAGGTTCTGTGCAATGCGGATCACAAATGAGGCTTTCAAAGCAAAACCGAGACCATCTGACTCTGAGCCTTATGTGGGAGAGCAAAGACCTCAGACCACCGGTCGATTCTGGAGGGAAAGAAGTGGGGGTGTGGACACTGTCCACCACCTATATGGACTCACAGTCGAGTTGAATTAACAAGCAGGACGAGGCATTAAGGGGCCCAGTGTTCAACTGGGACAAGACAGCACAAAAACAAGATCTATGCAAACATGAAAATGACAAACACCGGAAGTGACGCTGCAAACACGGGCGACACGACAGAGTCCATAGTGGTGCTGGGACTGACAGGTACTGATGAGAAAGTTAAACTGGATCCCTGCTCTGATCACTGAGAAGACAGGGAGAGACCAGCCATGCAGCAGGAGAAGCTATCTGACATACACACTGACAAAAAGTCAGAATCCCTAACATACAAAGATGGATAACTAATAAAAATTAGAACAACGCCCCAAACAAACACAGGCAAAAGACAAGATGAAGCGTTTCCCAGGAGAGGGACACAGGGGTGCGCGAATACAGATGTTTACCCGGCAGTAATCAGAGAAACGGACGCAAAGACCACAACAGAGATCCCGCCAGAGGCGGAAATGAATGAGATGCAGACCCCAGGACCAGCAACGACGCGAAGCACCAGGCCGCTCACACTCCCAGGCGAGCGCTGAGTTAGTACAGCCGTCTGGAAGGCATGTGGACATGACCTAGAAGTTAACAGGCTCACACGCGGGAATGCAACAATCTCCCTTGTTCGAGAAGGCCCTCGAGAAGGCCTGGCCTGCGGGCACCTGCGTAAATGTGCGTGAAGGCACCAGGCCACACAGTTCCCACACCAGAACATCAGAAGCCACCCAAACGCCCACCAACAGGAAAAGGGCTGCGGAACGTGTGGACTATTTCAGTAACCGACTACTATACATCTAGAAACACAGATGAGCTGAATCTCAGAAAACAACGCAGAGACAGAAACCAGCCGCGCAGACCAGACCCCGTAAGGGGCCCTGTCCTGTCACAGGACGTGCACTCGCGTGGTGAAGAATCCTGTACAGTCAGGAGAGGGGTCAGCTCCCGGGAAGGGAGGGGCTCCCAGAGGCGAGAGGACGCCGAGCAGCCTCCACACTGGCAGTCACGTTCGCGGGGGTCCTGGGCCCGGGAACGCACGGTGGGGTCATGAGCGTTTACTCCACGTTCACACGCACGGCATGTGCTCTCTTGCGCGCATGACACAGTAAGAATATTTTAAGAATAATGGGCCACTTCTGTCGGCGGTCATGTCCATAAGGGCCACCCCCAAACCTGCTTGTGGGTAAAGCAGCCCAACTGCACCAACCACCTTGCCAGGGAAGCGGGCACCGGTCACCCCAACGAAGGGAGCCGCCCCCCGCAGGCCCTTCCGGATGCAGCTCTCACCTCCGTCACCTTGGGTTGAAGTATTAAGGCCTCTGGAGTCATTCGCGGGATGTCTATGTGGATCTGGAGACAGAGGGAAAGAGACAAAAGGTGACAAACGTCATTTCAGGCATTAGCGTCAGAATGGCGACACTTAGCGACAGCAACCAGTTTGCTCCAGATCTAAACCTGCTCCCGGAAGACACTAACCCCCCACATTTCGAGTGTCTGGGGGCAGGGAGCAGGTTCTACCCGAACGGGGCCCCAGTGCTGGCAGGCCAGGCCTGTGTGACCCTTCCCAGCCAATCAGCAGCTGCCGCACGGTGAGGACCCGAGCGGCCCTCGGACACTTAGCAACATCATCCGCAGCAGTCAGTACACAATGTCCAGCCTCGGACACCGGGGGCAATTCAAGTACATCAGCAGTGCACACAAGTTTTCAGTTGTGACAGCTTCTCCTTGGAACCTGGCACATTTTCCTCCACTGGACAAAGTCCTGGGAGACCCAGGGCACTTTTCACAGGAAGCATTTAAAACTCTCTGCCTGACATGAGTCATAACACAGTTCGCATGTATGCCTGTGGGTTCAAGGACCAACCAAATAAGAACGTTCAGGGCTTGAGCTGGCATCACAGGCTGGCTCCCAACATCTCACGTGAATATCCCACACTGGCCAACGCTGTCACCATCCACAGGAAAACAGCCCAAACAGGCAGAGGGACACCTGACATTTCAATGCCAAGAGGGAGTCTGCAATTCAGGCTCGTTGCCCGTCCTTGCACGTGACCTGGGACAGTCTTTCCACTCTGCCGTGGGGACGTCCCTAGGCTTGGGCTCCGCATCCTCGTCTACTAGAGGCCTGCTGCACCCCTCTCAAGGGGCACTGGTGATGATCAAATAAGATGGTGGATCAGCAGTCTGAGAGCACAGCTCTGGGGCATGGGAACTGCTTTTGTCAGGTTCGTTCCTGCCCTAAACTCTCCCCTCAGGCGAGAACCCGGAAATCAGCAGCCCGAGGGGGCGCTGAGGGGGATGAGATTACTCAGGGAGAGAACTGGCACAGGAGCCCGGAGCCAGCACCCCAAGGTGTTCAGGGAACGTGGCCATAAGGCAATGATGGAAGCAAGTGGGAGGGAGACATCAGAGTACGCGGATGGCAGCCACGAGCCCCTCAAGCCTCTGAGCAGCATGGGAGGGGAGCTGAGCAGCGCCGGCGTCCCTGCTCTGTGCTGATGAGACTATGGGATGAGGAGGAGGAGGGGGACGTGCAGCCTGCGGGTGAGGGGGTCAGAGGACTCCAGCCCTGCCTGCAGAAGCCCAGGTGCGGGCGGGACCAAAACCCTTTCAGATCTCACCCCCAGAGCAGTGCTCCCTCACAGTCACACTCACACAGGCACACACATCTGTCCCCAGCACGCGCAGGCCAGCACAGCCCAGATTACAGAAGAGCTGCCTGTCACGTGTCTGCTGCTCAGACAGAACAGTGCACGTCATAACCACGCCCTGCCGCCATCTGCGTCATCAGGAGGAAATCCAGGGGGCTGGACACTCGGGGCTCCTCCAGACCACCTGTGCCCCCTCCCAAGTACAGGACTGGGCAAGTAGGGGAGGCACAGTGGCCTGCAGAGCCCCCAAACCAGGGAGGACACCCCAGATGAGTCTTTAACTCTGATCAGCTCCGTGTGCTCTGGACGTAACATCTTCAGCAAAATAAACACAAAACTCAAGTGAAGAGACAACAAAGGAATGGGGACACAGGACACGGCCTCCCAGGCTGTGGGAGGCAGGGGCTGCATCCCTCAGGGCAGTTCACGGGCCAGACACTGTGAGTGGGCGGCAGGGAGAGACCAGGCTGACCGAGGGCAGACACCACCTGGCCCGGCCGTGACCTAGCGGTGCGCCTGGGACAGGCGGCAGGACAGCACAGCGTCCAGTTCCAAGAGGCGGGCTTCTCGGCAGCGATGCAGACCAGCCAACCAGAAGCGGCCACAGGTTCCATCCGCCTCAACGGCGTGAATGCAGGAAGCTCTGGGGAGTCCACAGTAATACGGGAGCTTTTTATTACTTATCACAGCAACTGAATAAAGATGTACACAGCCCGTTTTTAATTAACTTTCCCTTAAGAAATTCATAACAGAATACAGCTTGCTAAATCTTTCAGATGGATGCTAGCTAATGTCATCCTTTGGAAGTCTTTTTCTTGAATAAGAATACGTCCAAAATGTGTTCAAATCACTACCAAATTTACCCGTTCTCTAAAACCAGTGACATGGACCAATAAACCAGGTAAGCAAGTATTTCCCTAACCTAATCCAAATGCGATCTGTCTCAAATCCGATGCCCAGTGTTACTGGGAAGCAGTGCCCTGTGGTCCGGGGGCCACCCAGGTATGACCGAGGACAAGCGTGGGCCAGGGGCAGAGGGGCTGCCAGGAAGTGACAGCAGCGGGTCCCCACCCGTCTTCCTTCTCCTCCCTCAAGGGCTGGTCTCCCCCAGAGCCTCCAGCGAACCCCGCCTGCGGGGAAGACGCTGTCCAAAGACCCACTTCACTTACAGCAACTCTAGTCATCAGTCAGAGGTGAGCCTGCTTTGGGCCTTTCTAACAGGCCTGTGCCAGGCTGGGAGGTGTGGCAGCCCCCATCCGGGCGGGAGAATTCACAGAGCTCCTCCACCCAGAGGCAGGGTTTCCAGAGGGACACAGTCCACATGGACACGTCTCCGGGAAACCAGAAGCCCGTCCAGAACGTGAGGCAGGGCAACCGAGCCAGAAGCACCTTTTGCTTTAGAGGCAGCACAGCCATCCGAGCTGTCACATTTTACAAAGACAGTGAGAACTCAGTGGGTCTCGACGAGCTATTCCAACAGCAAATTCCGGACACACTGTGAATTGTAAATCAATTGTTTGTTTTCATCTATTTATCAGAAAACACAGATCTGTGACCCAATCAGGAATATCCTCGGTAAAACAAATCCTCCCCCAAGTCATCACCAAGTTAAAGAACTTCAAGTCACACACGACAGAAGAAAGAGGGCCCCACCTGTCTGTACGTGTCCTGGTGGACTTCATCATTCCTAGAGTCATAATAGTGCTCAATAAAAGCAAAATACTCCTTTTGTTTTCTTTGGAGAGTAGCTGGTCTTCGGTCAACATTGGCAGGAAGGTAACCCTGGATGGGAGGGAAACACAAAGAGTAGGTGTGGTCAGTGCCTGTTCACAGTCTCCATTGGAAGATCAAAGCCGAAAGGCTCACGTGTTAAGTGACAGAGAGGGGAGGAGAGTGGGACAGGACAGTCAGCGAGCTGAGCACACGGCAGCCCCAGCCCCGTGCCTCTGAGTACCTGCGAACAGGCCAGACGACCCACTAAAACGTGCACTAAAATATTTCAATTCCAGCCCTCTGCAGAAAAGGTTCGCCGAGCCCTGCTCTGAAACACCGGCCCCACAGGCCACACAGCCTTCCCTCCTGTGTGTGGACACTTGTGTGTTTATGTCTAACCTGTGCCCTTTTCTGGGCACTTTGACGACTTCCAATGGTCCGAAATTCTAAACCGCAAGGCACTGCACATGGCGGACATTTCTCTGAGGCAAAACTCCTACAAGTGAATTGTGAGCTCCGAGGCATCCTGGATACACGACATGTGATCAAATGATACGGTGAATGTTTAAATTTTAAAAAATGTATTACAGTAAAAGACACATTGCCATTCACCCCCCTCAAAATACTCCTCCTCACTTTGAACACACCTATCCCATTGTTCTTGCCACTTTCTGAAGCAGTTCTGGAAGTCCTCTTTCGTGAGTGACTTGAGTTGTGCTGTCATGGCTGCCACAATGTCCTGATTCATTTGGACTTTTGGGAAGAGCCAGAAGTCACATGGTGCCAGATCCGGTGAATAAGGTGGGTGAGGACACACCGAAATGTTTTTATTTGACAGAAATTGCTGTATACCAGAAGTGATGTGTGACACGGAGCATTGTCATGATGGAGGATGATTTATGGCACACTTTAAAACACACCTTCTCTCAACCGTAGCTCACACCCGACTGACTGCACCAAACAAGTTGAAACTTGTCACACACTGTTACTAAGGTTCGATGCGCTGCTTCCATACTGAAGATCCCGGCCTTTCCGTTGGCTGGCACTCGGCAGCAGCAGTCACCGTATGTTTTGATCACGCCTCATATTTAAGGTTCTTGACGCCTTATTTCTAAGCGACCCTGCCATGAGGGGCGGCAGTCTGCATCCCAGCGGCTCCGTCACAGGCTCACCGCCCACCACACTCACCGACAGTGAGGAGAGAGTCCCGGTGAGGAGCGTGTGCACTAAAGCAGGTTGGAAAGGGGCGCACTCACTGGAGCGGTCCCCCCACCAGCCACACAGCGTCCCTACTCCTGAGGAAAGCTGTGCCTTTGTCCCCACTAAACGCTAACCTGCCCCCATGCACGCTGTATGCCCCCCTGGCTGCCATGCCTCCCGTGCCATCCAGTAAACCCCCGGGCATCTCCACAGCGCGCCCTCTGCAGCAGCGCGTCCCCCACACACAGCCCCTTTCCTGCTGGGTCGCCAGCCCCGACCTGCATGGGGGCAGGTCAGACCTGAGTGACAGGTGCTTCTTCATCAGATCAGGCATGGCTTCTGAAACGATTGTCTGGGGACCACGGCATCAACCACACCCGCTGTGACCTGTTGCTATTTCAAGTCTCTGCCGTCTCGCGAAGGATAAAAATTACCAAGTTTGCTTCCTTCTCTTTGTGCTGAAGTCACCACAGGCACAGGTTAAGGAAGAGAAGCTCCTCGGGGGCACTGAGCTACACACAGCGCTGCCTTTCGCCCTGGGACAAACGTGCATCAGGCTCACAGCCAGGTACAAAGAGGCACCTGGCTCAGGACCCGAGTGACAGTGCCCGGGTCCCAGGGACCTGGCGGCAGGCTGAGGAGGGTGCCCAGCCTGACTGACTCCAAAGCTCCTCACCTGAGAGCCCACCCTTTTAGGGGCATGTGGCTCAGTTCACAGGAACTCGAGAATCAAGTCCTACCCTGTGGGGTCTCTGTCTCTCTGTCTCTCTCTGTCTCTCTCTCTCTGTCTCTCTCTCTCTGTCTCTCT